TATTTCAGTAGTCGTGATATGAAATCGTCGCGTCGTAATCAGCTGAATATAATGTTATATCGGACATCGTGATTGGAAAGGTCCTCCCCGGACCCTGCAGGGCCGAAGGGGTGGTCAATAGAGAGAGTACCAAATCCTTAATTGGACAGACCTCACCCTCACTACTTCTATTAATATGCGTAACATTAATTGTTATACGTACAGTCCCCACTCATCTCTCCTTTTCTCTCTCTCTCTCTCTCTCTCTCTCTATAACCAAAAGAAGAAAAAAAAACCTCCGACGAGTTCTGGGCATAAAAGAGATCATGGCAGAAGCTACAGAGAAGAAGAGAATAGAGGAGACTCCTCCTAGACACAGAGGCTGGAAGGCTATGCCTTATATCATAGGTAAATTAGTTAGATTTATATAGTTTTGATGTAATTAGTGATCAGGCGAAATTTAAAACAATATCAAAACAAGTCAGATTTTTAATTATAGAGACATGTTAGATTATAAAAATATTATAGAAATATATATAACCCTCAAATCGCTCGCCACAACTTTAGTTAAGGGTTAATATTTTCATAATCTAACAGGTACTTAACATATATACTTTTAACCATAAGCATGTCTTTCAATTTTCTTAACAAGTAATTAATAATAACTAAATAATTATCAGGAAATGAAACGTTTGAGAAGCTGGGGACTCTCGGCACTTCCTCTAACCTTTTGGTGTACTTAACGAGCGTGTTTCACCTGAAAAGTGCTACAGCTGCGACGTTCCTCAACGTTTTAAATGGGACCACTAATATAGCTCCTCTTGTTGGGGCTTTTCTCTCTGATTCCTATTTTGGTCGCTACTTCACGCTTGGCTTCGCTTCAGTTGCTTCTTTCATGGTGACTGTTTCTTTTCCTTAATTTTTCTTATTATTGAAACAAAATTGAGTTGTTAGTTAAACCTTAGTTTAGTTTAAAGAAAAGCTTGAAAAATTAATAATCAGAGATAGGGCGGGTGTGGGTTAGGCCGGGCCTAACCCATGAACATGCCTGCTCGGATTTGGTCCGGGCCAGTTCAGGCCTAGCCTTATGTGGGCCGGGTCAAGGACTTTGTTTCAGAGTCTAGAGCTAGGCTCAACCCGACCCACGGCTCGCATTGGGCTGGCCGGATCTAACCTGGCCCAAAACGATTCGGGTCGCAAGTTGACATGGATTGTTTTTTTCTGTTCGATCTTTTTTCTTTTGAATTTTTTTTGCTAGATTAGCATGTATAGTGTAAAGAGAAAAATTTTATATTTTATCTTTCTGAAAATTCAAACTGTATAATATTACAATTGGTTATAAAGTTATCTTAAAGGACAAAATATTCACAGTAATTTGAGTGTTTTATTATACATATTCATTAAAATATTGAATATAACTTAAAAAATCTCTACTACTACTAAAATTACAACTAAAATATCTGAAAGTTATAATTTTTAATTGAACTAAAATACATCAAAATATAACTATCACCTAAGGCGGGACAGGCTGGGTAGGACGTGGGCCAGGTCAGGCATGGGCCAAACCTACTTCTTTATCCGTGGGTTTCGAGTGAAACCCAGCCCAACCCACGGCCCGGGTACATCATGGGCCGGGTTGGACCCGACCCACTATAGGTCATGTTGGGTCTTGACCCACGACAGGTTGGGCCGGTTCGGTCCACAGTTTGAACTGGCCCACTACCACCCCTAATTAGAGATGTGTTGACCCTTTTGCTTTCTAAAAGTACTATTTGATAAAGAATGTTATTAAAGGGGGTTTTGCCTTTAAATCCAAAGTTTTACCCTGACTTATTTTCAAACTCAAGGAGTACTATTTGTTCCTGTAAATCCAAACAACTTTGTGGGTTTATTTTTAAATCCAATCTTCCAAATACAGTAAATACTTGGGCAGTCCTCCGTAAATTTAATAATAAAAAAACACATTTCTCTAGCTACAAAGTAATTATAACCACAAAACTGAAGAAAATAGACAAACTAAATGGTTTGGTTTATAAATACAAATAATAGCCCATAGTTCTCGTTTGGCAAAGGGTTAATGAAGAGGGGTTAAAGAGAAGGATTAATGTACTTAGCCCATTTGATAATCCGAATGACTAAATTATTAACCCGTTAAATAAGTTTTATTTTAGCCCTTATGATTAGTTTTAGTGTTTGGGAATAACAATGATTTTGACTATTTTTTTTATAATTAGAAGGGTTAACTCTTATTCCATCTAAATAGGAGTATTAGTAAACCCCTCATTTTGAGGGGTTAACTCATTTTAACCCATCTAGAGGGGTTAACTTAACCCTTCTATATTTTTTATGTTTGTCAAATTATGGAGGGTTAACTCACTTTAACCCTTATATAGATTTGTTGTGTTTGGCAGGTTAAGAAGGTGTTAAGTCTCCTTAACCCCTCACTTAACCCTTTGCCAAACGGTACCTAAATGAATCGATATTTATCACTAATAACATGCTTTCTTCTATATTTATCACTAATGAATCAGCATTTTACTTAATTATTACAGGGCATGTTCATCCTACCGCTCTCCCTAACCTCCACCCATCACACTGCAGCCAACACTGCCCCGGCCCAACACCCTTACAGCTCTCCGTCCTCCTCTCCGCCTTCTTCCTCCTCGTCATCGGCGCAGGCGGCATCCGACCCTGCAACCTCGCGTTCGGCGCCGACCAATTCGACCCTCACACCGACTCAGGCCGAAAGGGAATCAGCAGCTTCTTCAACTGGTACTACTTCACCTTCACCTTCGCCATGATGATCTCGGCCACCGTCATAATATACGTGCAGACCGACGTCAGCTGGCCGCTGGGGCTAGCGATCCCGACGGCGCTCATGTTTTTTTCTTGTGCATTTTTCTTCGTCGGGTCGAGGATTTACGTGAAGGTTCGGCCTGAGGGGAGTCCGTTTACGAGTGTTGTTCGGGTGTTTGTTGCAGCGTTTAAGAAAAGAGGGTTGAAGGTTTACTCGAAGGAGCTTATGTATGATCCTCCGCGTGCTAGTGCTCTTAATTCCAAGCTTCCTTATACGGACCAGTTCAAGTAAGTAATCATCTTATTAATAGTACCCTAGTCGTTTTATTAGGGTAAATTTAAGTGAAGCCCCTAGAACCCTGGCTTAATTATACTAAATTTTCTTCTAACTGGCTTAATTGGATCGCTTATCGTTGTATTTATTTTCTAGTCGGATATTTGTACCTATGTTATAATCGCGTGGATGATCGGTCATGTTACTAAATAATATTAACTGCACTGCTGATCACTTCTAATGCTTTCTGTCAATTAGGCTTGTATAATTTTATTTATTTTTAATCTATACAACTTACTTCCTTAATATGTCACGGGTTAATGTTTTCAAGAACGTAAGGCTAAATGCAATACACTTACCCAATAAAAGTTGTCCGAACGTCACAAATTTTTTATCCTCGCTAGTGATCAAGATATTACACAAAGGAAGAAATCTGTTATTTTAAATGATCTAGATTTTTATGTCACATCACCATCAAATTAAATCTATTATGTCAATTCATGAGAAGCACCCGTATAAGTGATATTAATGATCCAATTACATTTAAGTGTTCGCTTAGGTGAATATCTACCTAATCAATTAGGGATGAACATCTAATTACACGATGAATATTGTGACCAATGATCCAATGAATTCCCTTTTACTATATAACCTAACAATGTGAATATATAATTTCATGATTGTTTGTCCTCAGGTTCCTTGACAAGGCTTCAATCAAACTACCAAACGACACCAATGAAAACGGTTTAAGCCACATAAATCCATGGACACTATGCACTCTACAACAAGTGGAGGAGGTAAAATGTCTACTGAGAATCATCCCAATTTGGTCTGCAGGCCTCATGTTCAACGTATCCATGGTTCAACAATCAAACTATGTCGTTTTCCAAGCTCTCCAATCCAACCGCTCTCTCTTTAATACCCACTTTGAGATACCTGCAGGTGAGTCTCTAAGTACTCCGAGTCCAATCTACGTTGAAATTTTGATTTGAAACTCGAAAATTTTCAAATAAAGATAGAATCCGTAATAAAAAAAAGTAAAAAATAATGACATAAATCATGGAGAAAAACAGGAATTCGTGTGTCTCACTGCTTTATCATTAATCGGTTGATGTATACTTGACATGACACACATTCAGACCGCTTTAATCCTCATCATTGACAATATATCTACAAATAGGAACTAATGATCCAAATGTGTGACACACCAGGATACACCATCAATGACGTACGGAGAGACACGCCGGTCACATGTTCTATTTGATGCGTTTAATATAAGAATAATACCAATTATTTGACTTTTCTTAAATGATGTACTAAGTCGAATTCGGATGAATACGTACCGGCCTATTTGATAATTTCAGGCTCATTCACGGTCTTCACCATGCTAGCCCTCACCATCTGGCTCCCCATCTACGACCGCGTCATCATCCCAAAACTCCGTCGAGGGATCACACTCCTACAGAGAATGGGCATCGGACTCATCCTCTCCATCCTCGCCGTGGTCGTGGCAGCCATCATCGAAGATCGAAGAAGAAACAGTGCCCGCAATGTCAACGGCCACATTTCGTCAATGTCGAGCCTCTGGTTCATCCCACAACTTGTTCTGTTCGGAATAGGGGAGGCCTTCAATTCAATCGGGCAGATTGAGTTTTATTACAAGCAGTTTCCAGAGAATATGAGGAGCATTGCAGGGTCTTTGTTCTTCTGTAGCTTGGCTGTTTCTAATTACTTGAGTGGGTTGATGGTGAGCGTAGTGAACCGGAGGACGAATTGGCTAGCTCAAAATCTTAATATGGGGAGGTTGGATTATTTTTATTTTATGATTGCGGGAATGGGAGGTTTGAATCTGGTGTATTTTGGTGTTTGTGCTTGGTGGTATAGGTATAAGGTAGTTGACGATGGTGTAGGTGAAGTTGGATTGGAGATGGATGTGGCGAAAAATGCTTCGGTTTGAACAAATTGCTGGTTGATTTATATGTGGATTAATTTCTTCCAATTTCAATATAGGAAGAAGATGACGACGATAACTGTCAATATAGGCTGGGGATTTACCGAAAGCTAGCTTTTCATTATCATTATTATTATTATCTTGAATCATGGATTGTTAGGTTTATTGTAACTCTGCAATGTAAGTGTTAAGTGTACGTATATAGTTGTTGTTGCTACTATTTAACATAAAATATACTTGCAATAACTCCATTTTAATATTTTTACTATTTATAACAATAATTATAGTTGCACGTATTTGTAGTGGAGTGTCGAGTTTTTTCGGATTCTATACAGGGAGAGGTTCTAATGAAAACCTCCTTAGCCTAAAAACTAAAAACATCCTTCATCCAATGGCTATGATTCAGTCAAACAGTCAACAGACACATGCATTAATTACCTTATTAAACACATGCATTAATTACATTAACGCACTGTAGTGAATCTGGATTCACTGTAGTGAATCTGGATTCATTGTAGTGATTCGAGATTCGTTGAGATAGTGAATCTGGATTCTCTGCGTTGAGATAATTAATGAGGTAATTAATGCATGTGTCTGTTGACTGTTTGACTAAATCACAGCCATTGGATTCATCTATATCCAATGGATGAAGGAGGTTTTTAGTTTTTAGGCTAAGGATGTTTTTATTAGAACCTCTCCCGTTTTTGGAGGTTACTTACAGTTGGAGTTGCAATTTATAATTTTAACAATTTTTTTTTGTAATGCTACTCAGGAGATTGTTCATAACTATATATATTTTATGTCCAAACACGTGAAAATTGTCGGTTGTACCTCAGTTACGTATGAGAAACACTTTTCTTCTTTTCCCCGCTATCTCACTCTCTCTTTTCGTGCCTTTGTTATAGTATGTACCCCTGAATCCAGACAACCAAATCTTCGTACTTTTAAATTGGACCTCAAAGTCATTTGGTCATTCTAAATAGAACCCCGACTCTACGCAGTTGTTCTAAATAAGACCCTATTAATTTGAACAAATACGAAGACCTGTGGATCTAAGTAATTTAATATGAAGATTTGAGGGCTCTAAGATAGATTAAGCAAAGATTTGAGGGTCTAATATGAAAAACCCATTTTGTACTCTGTAGTAGTTTATAGGTGGAAAGGAATAGTGAGCGGTCAAGGACAAATCGTACGTTCAATCAATCGAACTAGTGAAGGAGCCACTGATACTGTGACATTAAACACTGCGATCTAACTAGTCGCAGCCTTGCAGGTGTAAATTTTTGTCTACATTCATGATTTTCTCGCCTTTTCTCATCCTCGTATCATACTTCGCTCTCTGTAATCTGCGGGGACACGTCGTATCTCAATTATTAGGCACAACCTTGAATGTTGATATGGTAATGAATGCACTCTAAACTTAATTAGTGAACGCTAACCTTTTCTGCATATTTAGTTTTGTATTGATTGTTTGGAGAGACTTAATCTTTGATCCACCTATGAGCAATCAATGTTCGATCTTTACAAGTCGTGCTTGGGTGTGGGGGCGGGCCAGGTCGCCCGTGGTGGTGGGCCGGGTAGCCCTGCTGGCTGACCCAGCGCAGCCCGTCATGAATCATGACTTTACCCGACCTGTAGCGGACCGGGCCCGACTCGACCTGTTATATACCTGGGTCATGGACTGAGCAGGGCGCAGTCTCAAACCCGAAATCAGAGAAATGTGTCTGACGCACCATTGACCCGGCCCATTATGATCCGGTCTGACCCGGCCCGGCCCACCATTGATTCGTCTCGATGCATAGTTTTTTCTTTTTTCCTCTTGTAGACTCAGCCCATCATGACCCGGCCCGACCCAGCCCAACCCAAATTATTGATTCAGCTTGATGCATAGTTTTTTCTTTTTAACTCTTGTATTTGTAATTTAGATTTAAATTAAAGAAAATTTATTAACTTTTCGTGGACGTAGATCTTCTTTTGAAGTCTGAACCACATATGTCTTTGTGTTTGTGATGTTCTTATGTGTGAAGTTTATCTTTGTACATATAAACATATACCGGTTTGAATAAAGAGTGAAATAGGGGGGAATTTTAAATATAATATAGTATATACAAATACAAAGTTAATATAGTTTAGAAATTAGAAATGAAAAATCAGGAACAAATTTAAAAAACCCACGGGCCGACCTATAACCTGTGGGTTGTGGCCGGGCTGGGTCCGATTCTAAACCCAGGATTAGAGAAGTAGGTCTGGCTCACTCTAATCCTGGCGGGCCGGGTCAGACCCGACCGACCGACCTTGAACTCGACAAGCCGGATCACAATCTTGAGCCGGTTCGGTGCACGCCCACCCGTAGCTTGTGCTCTCGTGGTCTAGTCATCACATGAAGCATGGTGTTAAAAACGAAGGATTATTTACATCCCGATGTGATACAATGTGGTGTGATTACGGGAATAACCCTGAGCTACATGTATCTATAGAATATACGGGTAACTTTGAGATTACTAACTGAAATTATACGTGTAACCTTAATAAAAGAAATATTAGGGTTGCTTAAGTTTTCTTCTGTAATATCAGCTTGCAACCTCGTGGTTATTCATATAAATACGTAGACCCGGGTCAATAATATGATTACACTAAACCACAGGGTACCAAAATGTAGTAATCCTAAAAAGTACAAGGATCATTGTTCAAGAATTCCATATTAATCCTGAAATCTTGAAAATTGCATATTATAGTCTTTAAAACCCTATAAAGTCTTACCAAATGACCTCTTTAATTAACGTACGTAGGGCTTGAGAGAAGTATCTCATCAAATTTAATAGTTGGAAGCAAAGTGACTGTTTTACCCTATTATTTTCTAATTTATTTTTTACAGTGTTTAAACGCAATACCCGCTCTGAAAAGAATCCAAATTAACTAGACTTATTCTTCTCCAATGGTCCAAAAAGAACCCTAACCAACTAAACTTTGTAAAGGTCATAATCTTCTCAAATCTATATAATCCTCTTAAACTTCCCCTCTTATCTATCTATCATCTTCACCACTAAATGGTTAAAACATCAAAGAGGGTATTTTGATGATTGCAGATGTTATGTTGGGAGAACCCAATCATGGTGAGTTTTTTTAACTATATAAAAAAACTAACAAAAGGACCATTTTACAAGTCATAAGATTTATGAGACTAACACGAAATTTTCAAGATTTTAGAGACTGATATGGAATTTTGAATATGTAAGGGCTAATATCTAAAAATACACCTTCAAAAATTTTCAAGCGTTTTTGTTAGATATAATTAGTCCGTCAAATCTTTAATCATTCCTCTTTGAAATTGCTCTCGTTCGTCCCTCCAATCCTAACGAGGATACTTGCAATATGATGATCCGAGTATATTCGCAGTTTCGCACGTAACCATTAATTAAGAAAATAAAAGCGTAAAAATAGCATCTTATCAAGCCAGTTAGTAAAAATGATTGGAGCCGACTTACCATTATATATACTAATAGAGCTTTGCTACAGTGACCCAAAATATGGGACCAATATGGGGGACAAGTGAGATGTCCCCCTCCTATTGGATAATGAGTTGCAGTTCAAAGATACTAGTCAGCATTTATATATATCGAATAACTATAACTAGCAAAATGTATCATCATGATTTAGGAAATATACCAACGAAAAAGTATGTATATTTAGGAAATATACATCACTTGTTCATTCTGTTGGTCCTATATTTTGGGTCCTTGAAGAATTTTTCATACTAAAATACAGAAATTAGCGCGGGTGATAAGCTCCCCAACCAGCGCTTCGCCCAAGTTACAAAGTGGGCCTTGGGCTACAGCTAGATCGAAACCCAAAACTTTAAGCTAGCCCAATGCTCTACGTCAAGTAGAGCGGTGGACCATGAGAAGATTGGAAACTTTCGTCCGAGAGCAACTTCGGTGAACATTTACTATATTGTTGTCTATCTAATTGTCTGCTTACTAGTAATAATTTTTTTAAAAACTATAGCTCTAAGCTCTCAAGCTTATTTTCGCTCTGCAAGAGAGAAAAAGTATAATTTTTTTTATATATATTACTTTAATTATTTATGAACAAAAAACATATGCTTAAGATATGAAATAATATTTATTACTTTAATTATTTATGAAATAACATAGAAACATATGCTTAAGATATGAAATAATGTTTATTACTTTAATTATTATCCTCAATGATTAGCTCTTGCCGGCTAGTTTGACCAAAGATTCTTTGTGGAGCCAGTTTGATCTTGTTTGAAACAACTAAATCTATGCATACGAGAAAAATACTAGGAAGGTGACCCTCTAAATAGAGTATATGTAATCGTAGCAACATTTAAAATACTATGTCGAAAGCTCACACTCTAGCGCGCATGTCGCTTGGATTCCGCCTTCTATATTGATGTATCCGAAGTGTCTCATATATATATAAGATATAAACTAACAAATTGCGTGTTGCGACATATCACTATTGCAACTAGATGCTTAGATAATGTATTGAAAAAAAATAAAAAAAACTGCAGGGGCTGCCGTATTATAGAGGCAGAATATAGAAACTTTGGTCAGCTGTAATCTAGCGCAACGTTACACCGTCGACCTTAGGGCTGTCAAAAACTTCCGTTCTCGGGTTTAGCCCGCAAACGCCAGGACAGACCCGGGTAAAGGGGCCCGGGCCGGCCTTCCTCAAGCGCCGACAGGCTGCAAGGGCTGGCCCGGTCCGTACATGTTGCTGGCCGGGCAAGAAAACGCGGGCCGCACATGAGAAAATACCGGTCGGGGGCGGTCGGACCCTGAGCGCGGCGCCGGCCGAAAGCGGTCAGCCGGCGTTGGGGGCAAAGTCTGGGTCGGGCCGGATCGGCCCGACGCGCGGCGCTGGCCCGGCCCGGCCAAAACGGCCATATTGGCCATTTTTACCATTTTGCCCCTAAAAATGACTATTTTATAAGGGTTTTTTGGTCATTTGACTAGGAGGCTGCCTCTATAATTAATAGAGGGGGGTTTTACTTCTTCTCCTCACACCAAAACTCATATACTTTTCTCTAATACTCTCTTATATAATCTTATACTCTCTAATAATCTCTTATACTTTCTAATCATTCTATCAAATGACTTCCGAATCTGATTATGAAGAGCAAAACCTATTTCCTATCGATCTTGAAATGAGTCCTCTACAACAGCTACTCCTACCGATCCTACCGGTGTTAATCCCGAATCCGGTGACGACGAATCTGTACCAAGAGCTCCT